TAGGAAATACCCTTATGGAAATTGGAACTGGCAACCAATTCCTGATTAAAACCCCAAGCACCCATGCCATAAGAGATAAGATAGACAAATGGGACCTCATCAAACGGACAAGCTTCTGCAAAGCCAAAGAAACCATCAAGAGAGCAGGGAGACAGTTCACAGACTGGGAAAAAATATTTGCCAGCTGTATGTCTGACAAAGTTCTAACATATAGGATTGACAAGGAACTCAGACGTGCTGAAAAGAAACAACCCCATTACAAAGTGGGCAAAAGATATGAATAGACAGTTGTCAAAAGGAGACATACAAACAGCCAACAGATACATGAAAAAATGCTCAGTCTCGCTAGTCATCAAAGAAATGCAAATTAAAACAATACTGAGATACCACCTAACTCCAATTAGGATGGCTATCATCAATTACACAAAAAATATCAGATGCTGGAGAGGATACCGTGAAAAGGGAACACTTTTTCACTGTTGATGGTAGTGTAAACTAGTACAGTCTCTATGGAAAATAGTATGGCGATTTCTAAAAGATCTAAAAATCAACCTTCCATATGACCCCGCATCTCCCTACTGGGAATATACCCAGAAGAACTCACATCACTCTATAAAAAAGGTACCTGCACACATATGTTTATCGCAGCATTGTTCACAGTAGCAAGAACATGTAACCAACTGCACTGCTCATCAAAAGAGAACTGGATTTTTAAAATGTGGTACACATAAACGATGGAATATTATGCAGCCATAAAGAACAACAAAATCATGAACTTCACAGCAACCTGGATGGACTTAGAGTCTATAATATTGAGTGATTTTTCACAGAAAAAAAAGAACTGAGTATCACATGTTCTCACTCAGAAGCGGACCTTGAACAATTATTGTAATACCATAAGAGAATGATTGGCAGTAGTGGGAAACCGCCGAGAGGGGGAAGGGAAGCAGGATTCGCGGTAGTGGGAATCTACCTAGGGAATGGAGGGCACATCTCATTAACAAGGGTACCTGCATAATAAACATTTGTATACCTAACCATGATTTGTACCCCACATCTTTAAAATAAAAAAAAATTAAAAAGGGGGGGAAGAGGAATAATTTAACTTCCTCTTTACCTATTTGAATACCCTGATTTTCTTCTCTTGTCTGATTGCTCTAGCTAGTACTTCCAATACTATGTTGAACAGGAGGGGTGAGAATGGGCATCCTTGTCTTGTTTCGCAAACCATCCACTTCTTCAGACCTTTTTTCTCGGCTATAGGGGCCTAATAATATAATCGACTTTGTGAGCTGTTGTGGACACTATTGGCAGCCCACCTAGATGTCCTTCACCGGGCCCCTTCGCAGCTGCATGATTGTTGGTGAGGGCTTACAGATAGGGCTCCCTGAAGCACCATCTTAACTTCCACTTCTGGGTAGCCCAACCAAAGACACCTCCTTTACAGTCGCAAAAATCAAGTAAGATTCTACACATGGAAACCCTCTGAAAACTAAAGTATCAATGAGTTTTTACTGTGTTCTTGATGAAGACCTTGACTCTAAAAATCCCAACTGTGGCTTCTTGACTGAAGGCCAATGATGACAGCAGATAAGGCCACCAGGGAAGGCACTATTATCACGCATCCCAAGGATGTGAACCAAGGCTTCTTCCTTCACCACCCAGGAGCCCAGGATGGTGGGCAGACAGTAAAAATGGATTGATTTGAAGTTGAATAATTTTTAGGTAATGTCAGGTAGTGGCTGAATAACTTTTTCCCTTTAGGGAGGACAAGTATTGAAGTTGCAAATCATTCAGAGCTTGGAACTAAACAAGGTCACAGAAATTCTTGCCTTTTCTTCAGTTCCAAAGTGCTATAAAAGTATAATTTGCAAACTGCAACTTGCTTAAGCGATACCAGTTTCAGCATACTTAAAAATTCCTAAATGTTTATTTTAACAGGGATTTTCAGAGGTAGGTTTGGGATATGTGTAGAAAGTGAGGAAAAAAGAGAAAGCGGTAGAGGGATGTTGTCCCTGAAGTCCAGAACCCTTGCAATGACCCCAGTTAATTATTGACGCCCCAGGGCCTGATGGGCACCAGAGCTGGCCCTGCTGCAGGGGGCCAGCATGCATGTTAATGGAATGCTAGGACCTTTGGTGCAGTTAATCATTTATCTCCTCCCAAGTTCAGTACTTGGATCTCCCTCCTCTGAAGCTGACAGGAGGCTGTGTGATTATCTAGAAGGAAGACCAGCCATGCCTAGCAGGGTGCAGGAGCAGATAATGATAACTTACAGCCTTGCTATGTGGTCAGACTCCCAAGGGACTTCCCTCTGTAGGAAAGGGTTTCACATGAGAAGAAGAATGCTTTATCAGGGTAATTGATGAAGCTCTGTGCCAAGATAGGGCCACAAGATGACATGATTTTATGTGAGTTCATGATCTGTGTCACCCTTAAACATGCACAGTGTTTATTTTTATAGCTCTTTATTTCCAGTGCTACATTTCCAGTGTACCATAAAGTTCTCAAAAATTAATGGAGCACTTTTTTTAATTAAATTTTTTTTATTTTTTTCAAATGTCAGGTGTATGAATAGTTAACTAAAAGGAGAAGAGGAGAGATCTGCAATCCCACCCACCCAGAGTCAACCACTGTTGACCCATCCTTTCGTATTACAATGGCTGTGAGACCTTTTATATCCCGAGGATGTGGTCTCCTTCAACATTGTCAACCTAAGGTCTAACACACTCACCTAAGGTGAGATTGCAATGGCTTCAGGCATGGTCAACATGCCTGGTGTGGGATTGACTTCGAAATCTAAGCATTTCCTCACAGTTACTCAGTCTCTGTCATGAGTACAGTTTAAATTTTGATTGGAAAATGATTTTTCATTTTTTTATTTCAAGAAATTATAAATAAGATGAGTGATATTGATTTAGAGTTTTGTTTTGCTCTTGTTTTTTTTCTTTCTCTTTTTTTTTCATTGAAGTTTGACTACAAATTAGTGGGGGTAGAAGCCATTTTGTGAGATTCATAAGCTGGCATTGAATAAGGTGACTATATGAAATAGCCAAAGAGGAATTGTTCACTTTGGGAATTTTCACTGTTATTTGAGGCCTCCTTCCTCAGGAAGAAATCTGCATCCTGGTTACTGAGAATTGGGTCTAAGGATGAGTATGAGTTGAACATCTGAAAAGGAAACCGCACAGTCCCAGTCCAAAGACAACTACTGATGCTTTTAATGTAGTTCTTTCCTCCCTTGGTATGCTTAGGGAAGTGACTATTTGGAAGCCAAGGCATGTGTGCATGGATAGCACCACCATAACCTTGCAAAGAGGTATGAGAAGGATTATTGCCATAGGTCAGTTAAGGCTTTCTTTGTAAATGCAGTTTGGAGGTCATCCAATGAATCTGGATGTTGCTTCATCTGCATCCATTCTCTCTTGTCTTGGAGTGGATACTTGAATAAAAGTCATTGCCACCACGTTCTTGTCTTGGAGTGAATGCATGGATAAAAGCTGTTGCCACCACTGTTTTGTAATGCAAACAACTTCATTCTCAGGAAGCTTCTATGACGCCTTCTGTGCATTTTCCATGCTAAAATTCTCCAGTTCTGAGTCCTTGGATGTGCATTGGTGAGCCACTCTGAGCCCTGCTTCTCCAATGATGAAACCATTCTAAAGGGCCTGTTGTATTTCAGGTGTTTGAGGACCCTTGAGGAACTTTCTTTCTCTGAAACTCCAAGTGACTTATTTTATTGGAATTTATCTCTGCGTTTTTCCCTCTTTTGAGAGCTGTCTTCTCTCTGAATGGGTTGCTGTGAAGCTCAGATGAGTCAAGTACTCAGCAAATGTCAGCTGTGAACTATTGTTAGAGAAAGTTGAGCAGTCAATAGAACAGTGCTGCCTGTGGAAATATCATATGAGGCCTGTACACATTTGCAGCTTTTCTAATAGCCACGCTAAAAAAGCAGAAAGAAACAGGTGAAACTAATCTTAATATATTTAGCCTGACATATCAAAAATACTATTTTTTCAGTGTATAGTCAGTATTTTTATATTTTATTTTTTAGAGACAGAATCAGACAACTCTGTGACCCAGGCTAGAGTACAGTAGCTCATATGGAGTACACATAGCTCATTGTTGCCCTGAACTCCTGGACTCAAGTGATCCTCCTGCCTCAGCCTCCTAAGTAGCTAGGACTACAGGCACCCACCACCATGCCCGGCTAACTTTATTTTGGGGTAGAGATGAGTCTCACTATGTTACCCAGTTGATCTGAACTTCTGACCTCAAGTAATTCTCCCACCTCAGCCTCCCAAAGTGCTGAGGTTACAGGCATAAGCTACCATGCCCAACCCAATATTTCTAAATTATTGAAATATTTTACATTTTTTGTAGTCTTCAAAACCCAGTGTGTGATGTACACATACAGTGCAACTCGGTCTTACTAGCCACACTTCAAGTGCTCTATCACTACATGTGATTAGTGACTGCCATATTGGGCAGTTCAGGTCCTGAACCTTGCTACTCAAGGTGTGTTCCAGGGACCAGCAGCATTTGTGAACCTGTCCCAACTGCAGAATCTCAAGCTTAACCCAGCCCATAGAAGCAGAATGTGCATTTTAACAAGATCCCCTGGTGAGCAAATCACATGTTAGAGTGGGAAGCACTGGCCTAGAATTCCCATGCTCAGACCCCACCTCTGGGAATCTGATTTAATTATTCTAAGGTGAGGCCTGAGCACGTAATTTTTAAAGCTTCCCTTGATGATTCTAATATGCATCCAGGTTTGAGAGTCACTTGTATAGTGGGCTCTGAAGCCAGGATGCCTCAGGATGCTTCAGGACCTTGGGAAATTACGAAAACTTTTTGTACTTCGATTTCTTTATCTGTCAAGTGGAGGGCTGTTATGAGGATTAGATGAACTCACATATGTAACACACACAGAACAATACCTGACACAGAGTGAGCACTCATGAAATACAAGCTCTTAACTTTTCTTCTTTTTCTTGAAGGTCCGGGGTTACCCAGAGCCTCAGGTGACATGGCACAGAAACGGGCAACCCATCACCAGCGGGGGCCGCTTCCTGCTAGAATGTGGCATCCGGGGGACTTTCAGCCTTGTAATTCATGCTGCTTGTGAGGAGGACAGGGGAAAGTATACCTGTGAAGTCACCAATAGTAGTGGTGCCCGCCAGGTGACGGTGGAGTTGACAGTAGAAGGTGAGTGTCAAGAGGCGAGAAACCTGGTGGGAGCTAAGCTGTCAGTTTCCCCAAGGCCTGCAGCTTCTGCTCTAGCCTTCTCTTGGGGGATGGAGGAACTGACACGAGAAGGCACACCCCACCCCTGAACTCAGACCTTCTAGTCTAATGGGAGAGATGTGGTCCCTGCAAACAAGGAAGGTAGCCTCAGAGACAATGTTTGTAGGTATCACCTCACTTCCCTGCTTGAGATGCTCCCCACAGCCTCTCCTCACAGAGACTGAAACAAGACTTCTCTGGTGGCCTTAAGGAGCCCTGCTGGACCTGGCCCCTGCCTGGCAATCTCAATTCATCTCCTACCATTCCACATCTGCTCACCCCACTGTGGTCATACAGACTTCTGGCTCTCCATTGAGTGAGGTCGCAGGGCCTTCACCCTTGCTGTGCCCATCTAAAGAAAGGGCTCTTCCTGCAGCCTTTCACCTGACTTGACTGCTCAAGTCCTTTAGGTCTCTTCCCAGAATGTTCCCTCGTGAAAGCTGAGCTGCCAGTTCCCCCAAGGCCCACAGCCTACCTTAGCTCCCTCTTAGGGAATGGAGGAACTGACAGGATATCTCCCCTTAGAGAGCCTGATCTGACTGTCAGAACCCTATGACTTTCTATCCTCTCACCCCACTCAGATTTTTTCTTCTAGGATTTATCACTATCTCACATTACAGTATCACCTCCATCTACATGAAAACTTTAGGAGGAGACAGACTTCATCCTGTTTATTGCCATATCTCTAGCATCTAGAAAGCTTCCTGGCACATGGTAGATACTGAAATACTTGGGGAATGAATGAATAATATTAATCATCATTAGCATCATTATGAAATAATACATGCTCATTATAAAAATTGTTTAACTCAGGGAAATATATGGGAGATAAACATACCAATGTGTTAACACTTATTATTTTGTCTTTTATCCCCCCTCTGTACTTTAAAAAAAATAACCCATTCACTTTAAAACTTCTAGGAGAATTTGACCATAAGTAAAATTATTTTGTTTTTTCAGTTCAGACCAGTGACTGATGCTCAAAGGCTTGATGTCAGAAAGGACTTAGTGGTCTGTTAGCCCCTTAGAAGTAAGACAAGGTTTTTTTGGCCCTTCCAGGCCTTTCTAAGTGTTTATAAACCAGGGGCTCACACACACTTTCTCCTCTTTCAGAAGGCTGTCCTCCCAACCTTGTTTTCCGGGGACACTGTATGTGAGGTTGTGGGTGGAGGATTAAGGTAGTCAGGAAAGGTTTCCGAAGGGGCGAAGTGCACCTGGGCCAATAGTCATTCTTTGCCCTGTTTCCCCACACCATGGAAGGGCGGACAGGCTGTTTCACAGAGCAGAGTATGCATAGTTTGGATACTTTCCTTAAATTCTTTAACTGGGTGACTCACTCACTCTAATGACCTTTGAGTGCCTGTGACTGGAGCATTCCAGATGGAAAGTGGCCCCTGCTCAGAGTCTCAGGATGGGCCTCATCTCTGTTATTCTGGTGCTGTGCTTTCTCCTATGATCCTTTTTTTGATGCCCAAACTGTGTGGAGACCTACAAATAAAAATTACCCTGTCCCCTTTTCTGATTTCCTGTTTGGAGCTGGGGAAATGGAAAGAACACTGAGTTATGAGTCAGGGCACAAGGTCCTGGACCCAACCTGCGCCAATCAGATGTGTGACTTTATCTCTGGACCTCTGTTTCTGCAGAATAAAGGGTTTGAATTTAGTGGTCTCTACAGCCCAGGCTAACCTTTATTTTCTATGATCCATGTTAAAGGAAGATTGGAGTGAGTTAGGAGTGCAAGGGAGGTATATGAAAACCTATTCTTCAATTCCTCTTGTTTGTGAAGCCAGATCTGATGTCTCAACCAAACAGGAAAATTTTTAGTAGGTCATGGTACTCAGGACTGGGGAAAGAAATAAACCAGGAGAGCCGTGGAGGAATGAGAGCAGTCTAAGGCTGTTGACTTGCCCCTCCCTTTTGGCTTCAATTTAAGGAGGCTCGGGACCACTAATTAAAACATATGTATAATTAATTAAGATATAATTAAAATTGAGACATACAATTTAAGAAGTTTTCTGTCTTCTAGCCCTAGGAGATGGAGAATGGCCTAAAGGTCACAGCTTCTTTAAACATGAGTAGGCCCTGTGTACATTTTGCTTTTGCATCAGAGGCCAGTTGTAAGCTGCTGTATGGTAGGGGGCCACTCCAAAGACCTGGAAGGACCCACTCTGGTCCCTTCTGCCATAGATAAATTATTGGCTGTGCCAGGCTAGCCCAAACCCTTACAAAGGGAATCTAGCAGCCTACCTGCTTTTCCTCTGGCTCCCTGTGCTGTACTTATTACTTGGGAAAAGCAGAGGTCTAGGAATTAAGAGTGGAATTCATATGTGGAGCCTTTTAACCCCTTAGTGATCAAGTTTAGGAGGCAGTTTTGTGCAATGGAATGAAGCCAGTTCTGACACCCACCTTCAGAGGGTGGGTCAGGAGGCTTGGTGCAGAGCAAGGAAGAGACATGGTGCCTGCCCTTTGGGAGCTTACTCTTTAGTGGAAGACCACCGGCCTGTTCTCTAGTGCAGTGCTGTTCAGTAGAATATAGTGTGAATCACATATGTAATCTTAAGTTTGCTAGTAGCCGTATTTTAAAATATCAAGTGAAATTCATTTTAATAAAAGATTTTATTTAACCCAATATATTCAAAATATTATCATTTCAACATATCAATATAAAAATTATTAATGAGGTATTTTACATTCTTCAGCATCTGGGGTGTATATTGCATTTGTAGCATGTCTCAATTCAGACTAGTTATATTTGAAGTGCTCAATAGCCATATGTGACTAATGGCTCCTGTTTTGGACAGTGAAGCTCTGGAAGCTCCCATCTGAATAGAGATAAACAAGGTTTGCACAGAGAAAGAAGAGAAAGCCACGTAGATGAACAGGTAGTGAGTAGTCTTGGACCATCACAGTCATAGAGTGAGCCTTGGGCATGGGGTAGACTGAGGGGTGGCACCCAAATGACAGGGGTACCCCAAACCTGGTGATCTAAGTCTGAGAAGATCCATTGCACCGCAGGGACCAGAGAGTCACTTAAGTCATTTCAGGTAATAGAGGGTTAACTTTAAGGATGTAAGCTCAGGAGCCCAGGGAAAGCCAAACTGGGAGCCCCAGACCTCAGAAGGTTCTTACCTCTCTTATAAGATTGGTTAGTTCAAATGCATGTGCACACGAATCATCTGGGGACTCTGGTTAAAATGCATTTGTTGATTCTGTCAGTCTGGAGCAGGGCCTGAGATTCTGCAGTTCCAACCAGCCTCCAGCTGATGCTATGCTGCTGGTCCACAGACCACGTTTGGAGTAGTAACAAGAGATTCTATTATACATGTGATATCTTCAGCCTAGTACAGTGGTTCTCAGAATCACCTGGAGGGCTGCTGAACACACAGACCAAGCTGGCTCTCTTCTTCCAGGCCGCCCCAGCACACCTCCTCTGCCCCCTCAACGCTGTGGCTCCTGCTCCCTAACTCCCCACCCCTGCCATGAAATCAGTCATGCAAACCAAGGCTCCTTGACTATATAAGAGAGAGGGGCCAACCAACAGGTCACCTAGACTGTGACAGCAGAAGAGGGAGTGCCCTCTTGTCATGGGATTTCAGGGAGAAGAGTAGTGGTGATGGCTAATGCAGCTCTAGTGGTGCCACTGACACCAGCCTTCTCGGGCAACTTTGAATTTACAGGAAACGCTCCTGTGACATCTTTTTTGCTACTACCCTCTTTCGGGGACAGATTTCTCGAATCCCTTTTATCTTTTTGTCCTTTTATCCTTCGCATTTGGGTGGAATTGATGACATTATACATTTGAAGGTCCTGTCTATTTGTATTGACCGAGTTTTAAATTGTTGTGTTCCTCCAGGGTGTCTGTCATGGTACTCCTTTTGGTTTTTTGTTCTCTGATTTCTTTTGTATTATCTTCCTTTATCTAACTTTTCTGCCTCTCTGAAAGACCTATAATTATATTTCCCACTTATGTTCTTTATAAATATTTTTCAATCTAGAAAATTCCCTGATGACTCTCCTTTTTTATAGAGGTATATGCCCTATTTTTAAAAAATCCAGACAGAATCTTATAATGCTATGAGTTTTTGTCCTTTACTGTCTCATCAAAGTTAACAATATAAATGTGTTAGAGATGAAAATTATTCTTTTGCCCCACTAGTCTCTTTTCCATGAAGTATTTGTGTGTCAAGACTGCCTTGGCAGAAACCTCACTTATTTGGTATATAAAAGAGTTAGATGAAAAATTACTGGGTCTCATTCTACTCTTGAAGAATGACTTCAAAATCTCCTTGACCTTGACGCCTTCCCTCACTTATTTTCATCTTTCACTTTTCCTTTGCCTCTTTTTCCCGCAATGACATATATCAGTTCCCCTTGCCGGCCCAACTTTGATTATTTGCCATCCATGCTGCCTCCTCTTCTTCCCATGTCTTATTCTTCCACCTTCATCTCTACCCCTGGCCCTTTGTGGATTTAGGCTTTTCTCAGTTGCTCATTGTTCTAGCCCCTTCTTCATCAAATCTTATTGAATGTACTTGGGGGCATAAAGAGAAATACAACTTGGTCACTGCCTTCAAGAGACTGACCTAGACTTCATATTTTATTATTACATTGTAATTAAGATTCAACATGAGGACACATTTATAAAGTACTGACTGTGTGGTGTAGTGTGGGGGATAGAATCCTTCATTAGATCCTTTCTGCAAGGACCTAATTGGTCAGATAAGACCTCGACACATTAAATGCTAAGCAAAAGCACAGCTCCAGTCACAAGGCAGTATGGGGTTTTTTGCCAAATGATTAGCACATCAGCTCTGTAAGTTCAGAGGTGAATGAATTCCCTGGAGGCTGGAATGGTCTGGGATGTCTTCTTGGAGGAAGAGGGGCTTGAACTAGTTCTAGAAGAATGAGTCTGATTTGGATGG